AATTTGTTTTTATATCTATTGGTAAAACTGAAAATCATTTCTGAGCTGCGCCATCAAGTATTGTTTAGATTAACGCTGTGCGTCTATGTATCCAATTTTAATGGAGTGGTGTATTAATTGGTTCAGGTCTGATATTTAAAAATAAATTTGCTGTGACTGCATTTAAGTAGTCTTCTACAGAATATTCAGGGTCTGTGCCTGCGAATACCATTAGTGGTTTATTTGATGTTATTGATGATCCACCCATGAGGTATGGATTTATTGTCATCTGTAGTGATTCTGCGGCATTTGGAATTTGTGAAATATTTGTCAGTTGGTTTTTTGTTATCTCATGTTGTTGTAAATAATATGGTAGTCGTATTTCGTTTTGCATTTGCATTGGTTGATAATAATCAGTATTTGCTGGATTTTGTGAATAAAAATTTCTTATTTTGAGGTTCGTCATTTGATCTAGGTTGTCGCATATGTTGTTCTCGTGTATATGGTTCAAAAATATCTGGTTGATTTACGTGATAAGACTGGAGTCTTTAGTTTTGAAAATTTTGTTGATGGTTTTGGTCATGAAAATCGCCATCATCTGATGAATGATAATTAGGTGTATAGTAGGGTGTTTTTTTGTTTATATTGGTATGGTTTTTTACTATTTTCATTCTGTTAAAAAAGTGGATAGTTTTCTTTTAGGTCTGTTGGAATACGTGGGTTATCATTAAAATTAACGAAATTTGATGTGTGTTGTCGGGGATTTTGTTGTTGTGAAAATGAACGATTATGCTGATTTGTACGACGAGGTTTAGATGTTTGCGATCTATTTACATAGTTATAATTGTGTTCTGCAAAATTATTTCTGGGGAATTTGCTTTGTTTTTGTCGTGGTTTCGTCATTGGTCTAAGTGTTTGGTAATCCATATGTGAATATTTTGGAGCAACCGAGGGTTTAATTGTAGGTTGTAATGTTACTTGGGGTAACATTGAAGTCTTTGGTTTTGGCGTTGTAAGATTTGGATGTGTTGGTGAAATACTCTGTTGTGTGGTTGTTACAATGGTTTCAACTGTTTCTTCATTTGTAAAATGTGATGGTGTTTGAATATCTTGTTGTGTAAGATTTCTAGTTCCATTTAAGTTTTCTTGTTGCACAAGAGTTGAATTTAAACTATAATTTTGTTGTCTATCAGGTAAAAATCAATTATAGTATAAAAGTGTTGCATCTATTGTCAGTGGTATTACTTTTATATAATCTTTGTGAATAGTTATTGTACTGATTGCTTGACTTGAGATGTCTATTTGAATGTTCAGAAATACTGGATTAGACCATTCAGGGTCCCAAACGTAATCTGATTGTTCGGCAATGACAGTGTCGTCATTTGTACTCTGGTTTCTAAAAATTTTCCTGCTTGTGCGTGTTGTGGGTAAAATAGTCTATTATAAACCATGCTAAGATTTTTTGTAAATCGTGTTTAACATTTGGTGAAGTTTCGTTATTTGAAAAAATTTTCAAGGATTGTGTTTAAAAATGCTGAGAATGCGGCAATTTCATTTCTTACATTTGCGTGTCTTGATGTTTAAACCGGTGATGTGCTTTCGGTTTCTTTCTTTTCTAGTATAGATAAATAATTATATATTATTGCAAAAACATCGTTAGTGAAAATTGAATTTGCTCGCTGTGAATTTTGATGTTGTATGTTTTTAATGTATTCTGTGAATACTTTTGAGAATTCTATATCGACATTATCCGTTTGGATAACATATTTGTAGGGAAACTTTTTGTTGTACTGAGTTCTATGGTGTAAATTCCATATTGTTGTGTTAAGCTACATATTCCTTTTATGTAATGGTCGACAATTTGTCTTTTGATTTTTATTTCTGGAAATTCTGCTTTACATGGGGTAATTCCTTGTTCAAATATATTTGCGATTAGGTTATGACAAAATTGTGTTTGTCCTCTGTCTTCAGTGAGTGAAATGATGATAAATGGGAAAACTGAGTCTTTGTCTGGACTTTCGTCACTTGGGCTTTGACTCATTTTTTCGGTTTATGACTGTCAGAGCCTAATGTTCAATGTGTCTGATTGGTTGGTTCTAACTTTATAAACGTACTGGTTTATTTTTGTATATCTTTTTATTCTTCTTTTTCCTTGTTTTGATGATTGTGATGTAGCTTCTGAATCGGAAAAGTAGAATTGATCATGAACTGGGTAATTTTTATTTACTGTATCTTTTAGTTTTTAGAGTGCATCAAAATCGCTGCCATCTGATTCAGAGACTGCGTTTCTACGCTTTGAAAATCTTTTTCGTGTAATGTGTCTTTGCTTACTTAATGTTTTTCTTTTTATTGTTTGCCGTTTTGTGCGAATATATCCTATTGTTTGTTTATGCGGTGTAATTACAAGATCGTATGTTTCGTTATTTATTTTACAATTAAGTAATACGATTGTTTGTTTATTTCCTAAATTGTTCAGTGACATAAGGTTTAGGATGAAGGGTGCAAGGTTGTTATAAGTGATTTTAAAATCCTAGATTGTTAGTCCTTACAATTTTTTGGTTAGCTTAACTTGGGTCTTTTATGTAGGGTTGGAGAGAAAAGTATATATCGGTTCCGAAGAATGATTTTTATTTCCTCGTGGTTATTCTAAGTGAAGGTGTTAACTTACTTAATCTTACTTAGGGGTAGTGATTGTGTTCAACGGTTGGAGAATAGTTAATGGATCCACAAGGTTCAGGTATAATTAGAACACAAGTAGTTCGTTAGATACTATTTTAATACTTACTAAGATTTAAGGTTTAGCCTGGGTCAGGTAAGAGGGGGGATTAAGTGAAGGATGAGTAACCGAAATTCTTCACTGTTTAGCTTAATTTGAATGGTTAGTGTGTTTGAAAAATTTCTATTACTCCTGGTTTTTTTTTTAAAAGGGTTGGGGTATGAATCGAAGTTTGAGGTCGTTAGACACTTTATTATTGGGTGGGGGAGAACAAAATTGTTCTTTTTTTGATCAAAGGATAGGCCATGATGATCGGTATATAAAGTTTAATGATATAAAATGGTTTTAATTTAATTTTCAATGAAGATCCAAGGGAAGCCTTCATGATCTAGTTTAAGATTGCATCAATTGAGATGAAAGAAAGATAAAAATTTAGATAAGGTTTTAAAGATAATTTAAATTTATTTGATGAAAATTTTAGTGTTTGATGATATTAGTGGTTTAAATGTTTGCTCTTATGTTTATGTGATGAAGCGGGGGATGCTAGGATGATTTGTTTATACTAATAATTAATGATCATCTCAACTAATTTTTCTTTTTTCTTTTAATAAATATATTTTTCAGATATCTTTTTCAATTTTACTGCAGATTTGGAGGGAACGATTTGAGATGTTTTTATAAATCGTTATTGTACAATAATAAATAGGATTTAGCGCCTGTAGTAATCATTGAAGATTCTTCTTCAAGGGTTCTATGTTTGCAAATGAAACTCTAAATTCTTTGCTATTAAATTGCTTAACATAAAAGTTTGGTCTGGCTGTCGCTGTACGACCATGAAACTTAATGGTAAGTTTCTTCTTAGTCGTATATCGTCTCTTGTCCGAGATCTTCTTACAATGCCTGGTAGTTCTATTATTGTGCGAAATAGCGGTTCTGATCTATTGAGTCGTAGGGACATTTCAATTAGGTTATTATCATATAACATTTTGATAATAATTTTGTCTAATTCTAATCTATCTGTTAGTTCTAAACTAATTTGTTTTTTAAGGTCTTGATTGAGACTTATGATCGCACCAGATGAGTTCGATTCGAGGTGTAACTCATAGAGTAATTTCGGATAGGGTACATCGTCTGCTCGTCACGCTATCTTATTTTCGGCCGGATAGATTCGTGCAACTCCTTAGTCTAATACCGATCCTAATCTTACTCTCATGTCTACTAGTCTCAGGGTGTTTAACTAGTCTCTGCTAGGCTCAAAAGATCTAGAGTATACTGGCTTTTTGCGATTGCTAACGTTCTCTGGGAGAGTTAACTAATTTCTAAGTTAAATTCAAATCTCTCTAGTGCTGAAATCACAAGTATTTTCAGCACTTACAAATAAGTGGATTGTTAGTTAGATGGATCGTTATTGGTTAATATTAAATATTTTATAGAGGTAAAAAATTCAATGTATAACCAAAGAATAAATATAGTTTATATCTGGTTCCAACAGTGCTGATTTAAATTAACCGGACAAAACGAGCTAAACTTCAAATTTGAAACGCGTTTTTCTCAAATTCGGTTGAGTTTAGGTGAAAACTTATGTAAACAAAACTTACTTAAAATTTTAGCAGAATTAACATGGCGTAATTTGTTTTACGAAATTCGGGCCCCAAATTTTACCCTAAAAATGGGTCATTTTGGTTTTTCTTATTTAATCAAAAATTACGCCAAAAAATATCCAGTCGATCACAGACATAATTAAACCAAAGTTAGCCCCTTACGTAGCTCAACAAACTTTAAAAAGAGTATATTCTCCAAAAACAATTGCAAACCGTTTAAAAATTGTTTTTATGTAAAAAGTTGGTATTTTATCTAGTAAAAACGACCTTTTTTGTTTATCAAACAAAAATATATTAACTTATACAATGTTCTGGAGAATATACCCTTTTTGAAGTTTGTTCGGCTACGTAAGGGGCTCACTTTGATATGATTATGTCTTTGATCGACTGGGTTTTTTTGGCGTAATTTTTGATTAACTAAGAAACGCCAAAATTACCCATTTTTGGGTTAAATTTTTGGGGCCCGAAATTCGCAAAACAAATTGCACCATATTATTTCTGCTAAAGTTTTAAGCAAGTTTGGTCTTCATAGTTTTCACCTAAACTCAACCCAATTTGAGAAAAACGGGTTTTAAATTTCAAGTTTAACGCGTTTTGTCCTGTTAATTTAAATCAGCACTGTATTCATATTAAGATAGCAGCGACTCAGATTATTTTTCGACCAAAGAAGAAAAAACCTTTCGTGAATGATGTTTATTGTGAAGGCGATGGAGCGGAGTTTCGTTGCTATCAAACCCGACGGAGTTCAGAGGAAGTTGGTGTCTGAAATCTTGTCTCGGTTTGAGAGGAGAGGCTACAAGCTGGTGGCTCTGAAGATGTTACAACCCACAAGAGAATTGCTTGAGGAACACTATCAGGAAATCAGTCGCTCTTCCTCATCGAAAAAATAGAACTTCATGCATATGGGCAGGTCCAAGAAATTTGCAGAAGAGGGACAAGTTTTAGTACAACTTAAGTACAAAAAGATGTAAATTTTCTAAAAAGGTTCATAATAGTTTTTATCATTTTTTTTGTTGCCGAAAATATCATCTTGCTAATGAATTAAGAAGAGACTAAGTTTGAATCGACTAGCATAAACTTGATTGGCATAACTTTGGTATCAAAATTGGAACGATCAGCATAAAAAACTGCAACACAAAAAACGTTTGTGGCAATTGTTAAAATTTTAGGTAGATGCGTAATTTTTCGGCCAACCAAGTGAATTATTCCGAATTTAGGTTGAAACTGAGAAAAATTAATTTTATGATTGAACTAAGTTTCAAAATTGTTTGAAAAAAGCCTGACCCATTTTCAAAAAACTAACAGACAGTTCTTAAATTTTAAGAGGGAGTCTAAGCAGCTCGGAGTCGTAATGCGATTGCGATTCATCGGCAGGAACGCTCGAAAAAACAGTGATAGAACTATCAAAAACCAATAGGCTTTCTGATAAAATCAAAAAGCAATTTTAATGGTGCCATCAAAACGTAAAATTTCTGATGTTTGAAGTTGATAAAGAAAAATTATGCGAAACATAAATGCAACAAAATAGTGAAAAAAATGAAGCTGTATAAAAAACGTTTCAGTTTTTTTTATTCTATGGTTTTTGTACCGAAGGTGAAGTTTTCGTCAATTTTTTATCAGAAAATGTATTTTATAATGGAATTAGTTTTTTTTCATTTTTGGCCATGCTATTTAATCTATCTAAATATATTTCCTATGTGCGAAAAAAACCACACTTTGTCCTTAACATGGCGTGAGATGGTTTTCAAAAAACTAGAAAAGAAACAAAAAATGTTGCATATTTTTTTGAATTTTTTGTCAATTCAAGACAGGAAGTTTTTCGAAAATCCGCGATTTCAACAGAGAGATGCTAATTGGATGATAAAGTAATCGGTTTAGTTTGTATCATAATGCATCCTTTTTTGTCATCATTTGATAAAAATTGGCAAAGAAAACTCAAACAAATTGTCAAGAAAAAACATATATTTTTTTAATTTTAAATTTTGTAGACCACATGCCTTTAGCTGTCAATCGCTTTTTCGCTAATCAATTTTTTTTTAAAATTAAACAGAAATTTTATGTCTTTGATACTGTTAATTCAGATATTATTTCGTCTCCTCATCCTTAAAAACGCTTTGGAGAAAACCTCCGGATTGGATCTTAATCAAACTTTCTTACGTATATCTTTTATTAGGACAATGATATGAAATATTATCTGGAATAATAGTGTTAAAATCACCACTATCCTGTTTAATCGAATCATAGATTTATTTTGATTGGCAATTAAGCGATTAGGTGATGGATATTTACGGCATCTAGTTTAATAAGCTGTAATTACCAAAAAAGAGGTACTTTGTGGACAAGTTGTGTGAAACTTCCCTGTCAAGTTTTATCAAACTACGACTAAGAAGGTACTCCAGTTTGATTCATAAATAAGACCCTAATGACTTTTTTCTGGGCATATTGAGTTAGCACTACTTAATAATAAACTACTTAATAGGGAGCAATAAACAAAAAACGGATAGATTGAATGAGAAGGGGCGATACAGGATCTGAAATCGAAGAAGTTCTTCCAAGACCTCATTACCTACATGCGCAGTGGACCAATTGTAGCCATGGTGTGGGAAGGTAAGAGGGTTAGAGTTTAAGGATCTGCGTTTTCATTTTATAATAGATTAAAAGGTTGTTTATTACCGTGTTTTATTAAGCACGGGGGTGGGGGGGGGGGGGGGGTTGGTAATGATGGTTTTTAGAAAAAAATAATTGTTGTCAGTTTTTTTTTGTCAACCAGTCATTTTAAAGTTTTTTGAATTCTGCCGAAGCCGAAACCTTTGAAACTTAAACTAAACTATAAAACTATTTTCTGCGAAGCAACATTTTTATAGAATCAAAATAAGATATATGAGCAATTTTGAAATTGTTAATAAAATATAGCTTCTTTCGATGCGCCTGCCCTTCAGAATTAGTGCATATTGCTACCAAAGAAACGAATGTCGCCAAATAAATAAATTTTATTAAATGGCAAACAGAATCGAGGGGTTTACATAAATGTAGCGTATAAAAACTAAAAGTCCTCTTTTTCGTTTTTTTTTGCGCGCAAGTTAAACGCTTGATGTTGTGCAAAAAAGTATTCAAAAACGTTTGTTTTGTGTTTATCATCTTGTAGGAGAAAACGTAGTTAAGCAAGGTCGAGCTATGCTGGGAGCGACAAACCCCCAAGAGAGTGTGCCGGGGACAATTAGGGGGGACTTCACAATCACGGTGGGAAGAAATATAGTACACGGAAGTGACTCGGTGGCATCAGCCCAGAAGGAAATCGGTCTGTGGTTTAGAGAAGAAGAAATATCTTCGTGGGATTCGAATGATCACATCTGGCTGTACGAATGAAACTAATTCACTGAAAAGCCTAAATTTACTATGAATTTTTAGTAATTTTCATCTAGTCGCAGGAGGGCGATTAAGGCGTTTAATGATTACCATCAATACAGCCAGCAGATCCCATACACTCAAAAAAATTAAGGTTATTTTCCTTAAAAAATATCTTAAAACACCTTAACAATTAAGGTAATTTTGCACTGCCTTAAGTACACCTCAACCCAGGGGCGGATCTAGGATTTTCTCGAGGGGGGGGGGGGCCGCTTTTTTTTTTGACGACCTTTTTGACGACCTTTTTTTTTTTTTTAGGTCGACCAAATTGATTCTTTGAGCTCTCCCAAACACTGTTTTGCCCCTATTTTGGCAAAATTTTCTGCGCCGCAGGTTAATTTTTGAAAAAACAGTCAAAAAAGCCGTTCCCCTCAAAGTTAGTATATATTGGCGCCAAAGGCGCCTTTAGAAAAATTTTAGGGTCGGTCGGCCAAAAATGTATTTCTGAAAAAGTATCAAAGGGGGGACCCTTTGGGTCGGCAGGGGGTCGAATCCCTGAGGGGGGGTCCGCCCCCCCCCCCGCTCCACCTAACTCCGCCCCTGCCTTAACCTACCTTAAAACCCCCTAAAAATTTACCTTAAATTACCCTGAAAGTCTTTAAAAACTCTATAGGTAATTTTATAGGTAATTTTACCTGAAAAACTTACCCTAAAAAGTAGGTAATTTACCTATATTTACCTTAACTTCAAGGAAGGTATTTTCACCTTAAATTTTTTCCTTAGAAACACAAAAAATAGGGTAAAATAACCTTAAGTGTTGAGGTGAGAACCCTAATTCTCTGCGTCTATCGTTTGAACCAATATGAGGTTATGAATTGCTATACCAAACTCACTAATAAAAAAAAAATTGTCGTATTAAGCAAATAATACATTCAGTCATACATGCATACATACACAAATACAGTGCTGATTTAAATTAACCGGACAAAACGCGTTTAACTTGAAATTTAAAACCCGTTTTTCTCAAATTGGGTTGAGTTAGCTGCAAACTTATGGAGACAAAACTTGCTTAAAATTTTAGCAGAATTATTATGGTGCAATTTGTTTTGCGAATTTCGGGCCCAAAATTTTAACCCAAAAATGTGTCGTTTTGGTTATTCTTAGTTAATCAAAAATTACGCCAAAATTACCGAGTCGATCACAGACATAATCATATTAAAGTGAGCCCCTTACGTAGCCCAACAAACTTTAAAATGCGTATATTCTCCAAAAAAATTGCCAACCGTTTAAAAATTGTTTTTATGTAAAAAGTTGGTATTTTATCTAGTAAAAACTACCTTTTTTGTCCATCAAACAAAAATAAATTAACTTATACAATGTTCTGGAGAATATACCCTTTTTGAAGTTTGTTGGGCTACGTAAGGGGCTCACTTTGATATGATTATGTCTTTGATCGACTGGGTTTTTTTGGCGTAATTTTTGATTAACTAAGAAACGCCAAAATTACCCATTTTTGGGTTAAATTTTTGGGCCCGAAATTCGCAAAACAAATTGCACCATATTAATTCTGCTAAAGTTTTAAGCAAGTTTGGTCTTCATAGTTTTCACCTAAACTCAACCCAATTTGAGAAAAACTTGTTTTAAATTTCAAGTTTAACGCGTTTTGTCCGGTTAATTTAAATCAGCACTGTATTCATATTAAGATAGCAGCGACTCAGATTATTTTTCGACCAAAGAAGAAAAAACCTTTCTTGAATGATGTTTATTGTGAAGGCGATGGAGCGGAGTTTCGTTGCTATCAAACCCGACGGAGTTCAGAGGAAGTTGGTGTCTGAAATCTTGACTCGGTTTGAGAGGAGAGGCTACAAGCTGGTGGCTCTGAAGATGTTACAACCCACAAGAGAATTGCTTGAGGAACACTATCAGGAAATTAGTCGCTCTTCCTCATCGAAAAAATAGAACTTCATGCATATGGGCAGATCCAAGAAATTTGCAGAAGAGGGACAAGTTTTAGTACAACTTAAGTACAAAAAGATGTAAATTTTCTAAAAAGGTTCATAATAGTTTTTATCATTTTTTTGTTGCCGAAAATATCATCTTGCTAATGAATTAAGAAGAGACTAAGTTTGAATCGACTAGCATAAACTTGATTGGCATAACTTTGGTATCAAAATTGGAACGATCAGCATAAAAAACTGCAACACAAAAAACGTTTGTGGCAATTGTTAAAATTTTAGGTAGATGCGTAATTTTTCGGCCAACCAAGTGAATTATTCCGAATTTAGGTTGAAACTGAGAAAAATTAATTTTATGATTGAACTAAGTTTCAAAATTGTTTGAAAAAAGCCTGACCCATTTTCAAAAAACGAACAGACAGTTCTTAAATTTTAAGAGAGAGTCTAAGCAGCTCGTAGTCGTAATGCGATTGCGATTCATCGGCAGGAACGATCGAAAAAACAGTGATAGAACTATCAAAAACCAATAGGCTTTCTGATAAAATCAAAAAGCAATTTTAATGGTGCCATCATAACGTAAAATTTCTGACGTTTGAAGTTGATAAAGAAAAATTATGCGAAACATAAATGCAACAAAATAGTGAAAAAAAATGAAGCTGTATAAAAAACGTTTCAGTTTTTTTTATTCTATGGTTTTTGTACCGAAGGTGAAGTTTTCGTCAATTTTTTATCAGAAAATGTATTTTATAATGGAATTAGTTTTTTTTCATTTTTGGCCATGCTATTTAACCTATCTAAATATATTTCCTATGTGCGAAAAAAACCACACTTTGTCCTTAACATGGCGTGAGATGGTTTTCAAAAAACTAGAAAAGAAACAAAAATGTTGCATATTTTTTTGAATTTTTTTGTCAATTCAAGACAGGAAGTTTTTCGAAAATCCGCAATTTCAACAGAGAGATGCTAATTTGATGATAAAGTAATCGGTTCAGTTTGTATCATAATGCATCCTTTTTTGTCATCATTTGATAAAAACTGACAAAGAAAACTCGAACAACTTGTCAAGAAAAAATATATATTTTTCTAATTTTAAATTTTGTAGACCACATGCCTTTAGCTGTCAACCACTTTTTCGCTAATCAATTTTTTTTTTAAATTAAACAGAAATTTTATGTCTTGGATACTGTTAATTCAGATATTATTTCGTCTCCTCATCCTTAAAAACGCGTAGGAGAAAACCTCCGGATTGGATCTTAATCAAACTTTCTTACGTATATCTTTTATTAGGACAATGATATTAAATATTATCTGGAATAATAGTGTTAAAATCACCACTATCCTGTTTAATCGAATCATAGATTTATTTTGATTGGCAATTAAGCGATTAGGTGATGGATATTTACGGCATCTAGTTTAATAAGCTGTAATTACCAAAAAAGAGGTACTTTGTGGACAAGTTGTGTGAAACTTCCCTGTCAAGTTTTATCAAACTACGACTAAGAAGGTACTCCAGTTTGATTCATAAATAAGACCCTAATGACTTTTTTCTGGGCATATTGAGTTAGCACTACTTAATAATAAACTACTTAATAGGGAGCAATAAACAAAAAACGGATAGATTGAATGAGAAGGGGCGATACAGGATCTGAAATCGAAGAAGTTCTTCCAAGACCTCATTACCTACATGCGCAGTGGACCAATTGTAGCCATGGTGTGGGAAGGTAAGAGGGTTAGAGTTTAAGGATCCGCGTTTTCATTTTATAATAGATCAAAAGATTGTTTATTACCCTGTTTTATTTAGCACGGGGGGGGGGGTTGGTAATGATGGTTTTTAGAAAAAAATAATTGTTGTCAGTTTTTTTTGTCAACCAGTCATTTTAAAGTTTTTTGAATTCTGCCGAAGCCGAAACCTTTGAAACTTAAACTAAACTATAAAACTATTTTCAGAGAAGCAACATTTTTATAGAATCAAAATAAGATATATGAGCAATTTTGAAATTGTTAATAAAATATAGCTTCTTTCGATGCGCCTGCCCTTCAGAATTAGTGCATATTGCTACCAAAGAAACGAATGTCGCCAAATAAATAAATTTTATTAAATGGCAAACAGAATCGAGGGGTTTAAATAGATGTAGCGTATAAAAACTAAAAGTCCTCTTCTTCGTTTTTTTGCGCGCAAGTTAAACGCTTGATGTTGTGCAAAAAAGTATTCAAAAAACGTTTGTTTTGTGTTTATCATCTTGTAGGAGAAAACGTAGTTAAGCAAGGTCGAGCTATGCTGGGAGCGACAAACCCCCAAGAGAGTGTGCCGGGGACAATTAGGGGGGACTTCACAATCACGGTGGGAAGAAATATAGTACACGGAAGTGACTCGGTGGCATCAGCCCAGAAGGAAATCGGTCTGTGGTTTAGAGAAGAAGAAATATCTTCGTGGGATTCGAATGATCACATCTGGCTGTACGAATGAAACTAATTTACTGAAAAGCCTAAATTTACTATGAATTTTTAGTAATTTTCATCTAGTCGCAGGAGGGCGATTAAGGCGTTTAATGATTACCATCAATACAGCCAGCAGATCCCATACACTCAAAAAAATTAAGGTTATTTTCCTTAAAAAATATCTTAAAACACCTTAACAATTAAGGTAATTTTGCGCTGCCTTAAGTACACCTCAACCCAGGGGCGGATCTAGGATTTTCTCGAGGGGGGGGGGGGGGGCGTTTTTCAAAAAAAATCGAAAATTTTGACGACCTTTTTTTTTTTAGGTCGACCAAATTGATTCTTTGAGCTCTCCCAAACACTGTTTTGCCCCTATTTTGGCTAAATTTTCTGCGCCGCAGGTTAATTTTTGAAAAAACAGTCAAAAAAGCCGTTGCCCTCAAAGTTAGTATATATTGGCGCCAAAGGCGCCTTTAGAAAAATTTTAGGGTCGGTCGGCCAAAAATGTATTTCTGAAAAAGTATCAAAGGGGGGACCCTTTGGGTCGGCAGGGGGTCGAATCCCTGAGGGGGGAGGGGTCCGCCCCCCCCCCCCCCCGCTCCACCTAAATCCGCCCCTGCCTTAACCTACCTTAAAACACCTTAAAAATTTACCTTAAATTACCCTAAAAGTCTTTAAAAAACTCCATAAAAAATTTTATAGGTAATTTTACCTGAAAAACTTACCCTAAAAAGTAGGTAATTTACCTATATTTACCTTAACTTCAAGGAAGGTATTTTCACCTTAAATTTTTTCCTTAGAAACACAAAAAATAGGGTAAAATAACCTTAAGTGTTGAGGTGAGAACCCTAATTCTCTGCGTCTATCGTTTGAACTAATATGAGGTTATGATTTGCTATACCAAACTCACTAATAAAAAAAATCTTGTCGTATTAAGCAAATAATACATTCATTCATACATGCATACATACACAAATACAGTGCTGATTTAAATTAACCGGACAAAACGCGTTTAACTTGAAATTTAAAACCCGTTTTTCTCAAATTGGGTTGAGTTAGCTGAAAACTTATGGAGACAAAACTTGCTTAAAATTTTAGTAGAATTATTATGGTGCAATTTGTTTTGCGAATTTCGGGCCCAAAATTTTAACCCAAAAATGTGTCGTTTTGGTTATTCTTAGTTAATCAAAAATTACGCCAAAATTACCGAGTCGATCACAGACATAATCATATTAAAGTGAGCCCCTTACGTAGCCCAACAAACTTTAAAATGCGTATATTCTCCAAAAAAATTGCCAACCGTTTAAAAATTGTTTTTATGTAAAAAGTTGGTATTTTATCTAGTAAAAACTACCTTTTTTGTCCATCAAACAAAAATAAATTAACTTATACAATGTTCTGGAGAATATACCCTTTTTGAAGTTTGTTGGGCTACGTAAGGGGCTCACTTTGATATGACTATGTCTGTGATCGACTGGGTATTTTTGGCGTAATTTTTGATTAACTAAGAATAACCAAAACGACACATTTTTGGGTTAAAATTTTGGGCCCGAAATTCGCAAAACAAATTGCACCATAATAATTCTGCTAAAATTTTAAGCAAGTTTTGTCTCCATAAGTTTTCAGCTAACTCAACCCAATTTGAGAAAAACGGGTTTTAAATAAATCCCGTATTCCTGTTTTATTAAATCCATTCCAAATTTTTTAAATTTAAAGTTAAGGTTAAATTAAGGTATATTACCTTAATTCAGTTAGGGTAAAATTTACCTGACTAATTTTTTCTGGCCAAGTTAAGGTAATGCTAAGATAAATTTCACCTTATTTATTTACTTTTACTCATTTAGGGTAATTTTACCTTAAAATTTTTTGAGTGTAGATGATTTTACCACTTACGTTCTACTTACCCACAGTGGCAAAATACTTATATTTGAGTTTTTTACAGAGTTTCTACAGTAAAAAAAATCGATCTTATGCAACCTAATAAGACACTAAAGTCGAGCAAAATGGAATTTATTTTGCGGTAAAAAATCTGTACAGAATCTGCATAGAATTTGTATAAAATTGAAAAAATTGATTGTAATGCATGTTTTAAAGACCCAAAAAGATTGGTTCAATTGTCTAAAAATGGATTATCCTTTTTTTACTGTTAGAAGCATGCTGTTTGAAAAATCAAAACAGAATTCAAACAAAACGTCGTGAAGTATTTTGCATCTCCCAACTTGGAGATTTTCGTCGATGCGAGGGATCGTTTATGCATCCTTCATCGTTATTGCGTTCAAATAGCGTAAATTGCAACAAAACTTGAGTTGCCCCCTTTCTTCTTAGCCATGACTACGCCACAGGCCCACGGGGACTTTGATGGCTCAATCATGTCATACCCCAATAGCATCTCAATTTTTTTCCAATATGCCTCTAATGTGGGTTCCCTCTCATAGCTCCCTCCCTATGAGTTACCGATTCCTCTTCTATTTCTATCTCATGTTCAAAAAAATTGCAACAACCTATGTCGGCTTTGAGTTTCGGAAAACGTCTGCGTTCCTATTAAACACTCCCCTAAGGGAGTTCAGTTCCTTATCCAATGTTTTGCCTTTCAGGTGTTCTATCTAAGGTAGAACTGGTTTGTCTGCCACTAATTCTAGGTCTGTCGGTCTCTCAGGGAAATTCGAGCAACTAGACAGCCCATCGTCTGTCTCCGATTTCATAGAAAACACTTTTTTGAAAGACTTCATTTCCATTATTCTTTTCAATATACATTCTTTGTTGGCACGTGATGGACACTCAGTCACTTTGACCCGCTTCAAGTTCTCCAAACTCTGATATTCTGTGATCAGAGGCAATGCATAGCCAAGCTTCTTTCCACGTTGTATCGTCAACGATGTTGCCTGTGTGTTCATCAACACACTCAAGCATAGTCAATTCTGAGTGAGTGAGAAGCATCTTCCTAAAATAGCTGAGCTCTTACTGTTTGGGTTGAGGACCAGACATACTTGTCTGTTGTGACTTAGTTCATTCAAATTCCTCATCCTAAACCCAACTTTTCGATCTAGGAAAATGGGCATCTTTACTTGATTTAACGAGATCTTTTAACAGGTGCCTTTTCATACTTCCTCCCTGGGTCCTTGATTCGTATCAACCCATCGTTGAGGTCAGTTGTGACGTCAAAGTTTCGCACAAAGTCGCGTCCCAAGATGAACTGGTCGGATTTGTCCAGGTTTTCGACAACCAGAAAGCTCATCCAGAGATGCCTTCCTCCCAGTTGCTGCGAGATGATGTGTTTCCTTCCGGCCACATAGATTGCACCCTGATTGGCCGCAGCTAGCCTGATATTAGTCGGTATCAAATCCAACCTATTGAAGCCCAAGTCGGTCCAGGTGCTAATTGGCATGACACTGACCAACGCTCCGGTGTCAAGCAGTCGCTTTACGGAGAGTTGTCTGCCCTGCACGTCCAGTACGTGTGCTGCTAGATCGACTTCGCAGCCTATGTGGACTGCATCCTGTTCAAGCATGGCATTGTATCCAATTCGTCGGAATCACGCTCCTCTTGTCCGCTATAGATCCGGCCTACTTGGTTACCTGCATTCGTCACGTGAGCTTTCGTGTAGATGTTTATGCCATCCACATTAATCAGGATCGGGTACGAGCCATAGACCTCTATATATTGTCCATCTATCCTCATCAGCCTCCGCCCACCTGTTGTGAGTAACGCTCTCACAGCCCTGGAGTCCAACTTAGGATCCCTTTCCCTCAAGTAATCTGCATAGATATCCAGATGTACCAGGGTAATCTCAGGTAGGCCACTCAAGTTTTTCACCACCTGATGACTCCCAACCGATATTATTGGCATTGTCATGCTTCCTTCACTCGTCATCCCAAAGGTCTTCCCCGAGATGACATTTAGCTTCAAACCTCGGCTCTTTTGGTTCTTCATTTTCATCTGCTCTCACTGTCTTCTCCAAGGCATTTATTTTCTCTCGCAACTCCGTTCTTTCCATATCAGACCTAACCCATTGCTCAACTTCTTTCGTAGCAAACTCTTTTTGAACATTGTGTAGTGCGGTAGGCCATAATCCGCTAGTGCGGTAAGCCGCTAGGCCATAATCCACCTTAAGCGCATTAGCTGGGACAGCCTCCAGGCTCGAGGCAATTATATCATCCGGCAAGGTCTTCACCTTCATAGTCGTGTAGGTGCCTTGTGACCTTTCTTTCTTGCGCGACTCAGCTTCGTTCATTAGTCGTAATCGACTGGCAATTACTCCTGAAAATGCCTCTTTGTGGCGGGGATACTTCGCGTCTGCTACTGCATCCCAAAACTGTGTTGAAATACCCTTTCAGATTGCAAAAGAAACATCTTAGTCCATGTTTCATTATAAGGCTTGTCACATATTCCTTTTGGTCCTCATCAGATGCATCCACGTCGTCTAGGAAGTAAGCAATAGCTTTCATGTTTTATTTATAAATAGAACAGGCTGATACATGATGGTCTAGCGAACCACAATTAGCACAAAACCTCCTTTTGTCCAAGTCATCATTAGATTTATACCAACCGGAACTTGTGCCGGTATTCATTCCACTTTAATTGCCGTAATTGCTGTAGCGATTCTATGCCCTCAGCTTTATGAGCTGGTATTCACGCAATTTCAAGGTCAAATCATCGGGCGTGGGCACGGAGTCCGCAGACAAGGTAAAGTGGTTGGCAAACATGGTTTTCAGCTCATCACTCTTCACTCCGTCCATGAATTTTGAGGCTATGGCTAAGTTTCTTTCTGACATTCTCTCGTCAGGGTTACTTCTCCTTCTGAGCAGCTCGAGGTCATCCGAAAACTTGTCAATGGACTCATCATCGCTTTGGCGCCTCTTTTCAAACTTCACCATCGCCTGATGCCTCTGCACACCCGAACCGAAACGACTCAGCAAGATGTCGAAGATCCTACAAGCACTGTCACCTTCATTTGTCCTTTTTGCCATAACTCAATTCAGGGCCGGGCTTTCTAGGTTGCTTGTCAGTGCGCTATCTTCCTGTTTCTTC